CCGCCTTGCTGAGTAGTGGGCCGGGCCACTAGCTTCTTTGACTTAGCATAGCTCCCTCCTCACAGTGTCCCTGCCAGGCATTGGGCCAGGTGGTCCCTGGCCTTGAGGGGCTCTTCCTGGAGCTGCTGAGTTATGTAGCCAGCAGTCTTGGGACTTGGCACACCCAGGCAGCCCCCACACCATTATGCCTCGAGAACATCTCAGAAGTGTGTGCAGAGAGGCGTCAAGAAGCCAGCCGTCCTGGTCACCAAAGAACCATGGGCGATGTGAGACAGCACTGCCTTAGACTGCAGGCTCCCTGGCAGTTGCAATGTGAGGCTGTGTGAGGTCAAGTATGGCAGGTGGGTTTGGGGGAGAAACCTGGGGCCCAGGGTCACACAGGTCTCTGGGGTAGCAGGCAGGGCAGCAACTTGCCATGAGCTGGGCAGCCACAGGGAAGGCAGATGCGGCCATCAAGGGCATGGCTGGGGGTTGTGGGGCAGGGAGTCGTGAGGTCAGAGCCTGACCTGGGGTCTCCGAGGAGCCTGTGATGCATGCAGGAGCAGGGATGTCTCAGGAATGGGAGCTTTCCACTCACATGGAACCCAGCAGTCTCAACCCACTCCATTTCCTAAAGAGATATACTTACTGTATTTTAAATGTGTACAACTGGGCAGCTCGTCTGATCCCTTTTCTGAGCAGTGCTTCATGTGGGTGGTGAGGCTGCAGGGGGAGTGGGCTAGGCTGGGATGGAGGGGCTCAGAGAGGGCAGTCAGCTCAGGGGCCTGGCTTCAGAGGGCAGGGAATCTTGGGGGTGGGGGTTTTCCTGCCAGACCACCCACCTGCCTGAATAAGCGCTATGATTAGGCAGCCCTGCGGGATGGCGGGGGCACGGGCTTCAGGATCCCTGAGATGAATTCTGCTTAATTACGTGCATGCTGAAGTACTTAGAGAAAAGTATACAGATGTCTGCAATTTACTTTAAAATGCATCAAAAGAATAAAATGGACTGATGGCTGGCAGAGGGCCGGGAAGAGATGTCACACAGCAGCGAGTGACGTGCTTCTCGAGGACATAGGTGGTGTGAGCAGGCGTTCACTGTGACATTCCTGCCACTTCTCTGTGTGCTTGAAGGCACTCGTAAGAAGTTGGAAACTAGCTGGACTGGGTTTGAATGCTGACTTCCCTTTACTGCTGGTGACAGGACCCTAGAGAGCACCCTCAGGGTACCAAGCTTGGCACATCACCAGGTGGGGACATGCCCACTCTGCTGGAGGTATGTCCAGCAGAGTCGGACCATCTCACAAATGAGCTTCCCCTCTGTGCCCACTCCCTGAAGCCCCAGATCCAGCCCATTGGAGCCATGAAGATGGGACCCATGTGCCCTGTCACCATGGTGATGCAGTGAGGACTGAGGTGTTACTGTGAATACCAGTAATCCCCAGGATGTGCAGGGCCCTGGGGGGCCAGCGCCTGTACACCCCAAAGACAGGCTGTAGGGCAGACCCTCGTCCTGGAGGAGCACTGCCATGAGGGGGTCACTGGCAGCGTGGATGTTAGGATGAAAGGCAGCACAGGGGACACGGACCCGGCCACACTCTTCAACCATGCTCTTGGTTCTGAGTTCAAGGCCAGTGCTTGGGATGGGGGCCGCTGGCCCTCAGGGACCCAGGATAGGAGGACTAGCTAGCACCCCGGTCAGGCAGTTAGGGGACAAGGACTGAGGCTGCACCAAGAGTCCTGGAACTGGAATGTAGAGCCACAGGCCTGCATTCCACGTGGTCTGCCCACTGCAGCCTGTAGCTGAAAACACTGCCACACATTTACGCCCTATCTATCTCTAAAAAGGAAGGGCTCAGGTCACCCTTCTTGCACCAGCTAACTGGGGCCCTCAGTTTTCCCATCACTAAGTGGGGGCCCTGCAGCTATGAGGGCAGCAGCTTGCGGATCCTGGGATTGCTGTCCACGTGGTGAGAGGTCCTGTCACACAGGAAACCCCCAAACCCCCTCCCCACCCCAGCTATTAGGAATGCACAAGGTCCCCCCTGGCTGGTGTGTGAATACCAGTGACCCTCAGGGCGACCCAGGAAGGACACTGTCACTGTGGCCAGTGCGATGATCTGTCTCTCTCCAGCACACGTGTTCACCCACACCCAGCTCCAAGAGGTAACTGGAGTTCCGCTTCCTCACCAACCAGCTGCGAACTAATTACAAAAAATTCTAACTAGTCGAGCTCCCTCTCCAAGCATATGTTCCCAATTAAGCCAAACCGCAGCTGATTTTAATCAATCTTCCTTGAAGCGCCAACTTGAAGATACTCTTCTCCTCCAGAGGGAAGGAGGGAGCAGAACAGGAGACAGCACGGCAGGAGAGGCACTCCAGTGAGGACATGCTGACCGAGGCTCCCAGACCCCAGCTGCCACGAGAGCCCTCTGCCCTGCAGATTTGAAGTCTGCATGGAGAAGGCCTGGGCTCAGCACTCAGGATGATGTCAAGTGTTCTGGCCCTGCTTCCTGAGGACCTGAGGTGTCCGGGATCAGGACAGAAATGTCACGGGGACAAGGTCTTTGCCTTTAATGATGGAAAAAGCAGGTAGAGCCAGTAGATAGACAGAAGCATTTACTGAGCACCTACTATGTGCTGGGGTGGCGGTAAAGTCCTAGCATGTGATCTTTCTAAAGCCTCTCATGTGGGCATTACTGCCTCAGGTGGAAAATCCAATCTCCTAGAGCGAGATACTGCCTTCCCCCAGTTCTGCCAGAATCAGTCCCCAAGTGTCACCTTTGTCAACATCTGCTCACCAACATGCCCTGCACTGTGGCTCAGAGAGAGGCATTTTTATAGTCCAAGGGAAGACGAGGGGCCATCTCTGGTGTTGGGGTTAAACAGGAGTTGTCCCTTACCAATGGCACCCACAGGGTCAAGCTCAGCCCTGGTGTAAACCGCTCACCGGCCCAAGTATCACCACAGCTGGGGTCCTGCAGAGGTGCCCAGCTGGAGAGGTCCAGGACTACCTGTCCTACAGGGGGTCCTGGAACAGAGGCTGTTTACCTGGGGATGACACTCGGGCTGCTCAGGCTATAGGTGCTGCCAGGCTACCCTCGCTGAGAAGTGGTCTCACAGGGGTGTGAGAGAGGCGGGGGGCAGGCTAGGGGAACAGAGGGAGAAAGAGTGCTCAGCCTCTGAGTGAGGTCTTCTCACCAGGAGAATGGGGCTGCACCTTGCCCAGCTCAGGAGGGTATGATGCACAGTGGAGATGGCCAGCTATGGGCTGGGGGCTTGGGCCATCACCAGCCTTCCTGAATGCACTCAAGAGTAGCCATGGCCCTTTGTGCCTCTGGAGTCCAGCTGAGTCTGGTGCTGCCAGAGAGAAGGCAGCTCAGCACTCTGGGCAGTGAGTGGAGCTGGGCCTCCAGGAAGGGGGGAGAGCAAGGCTGCAGAGCCACAGGCAACCTGGCCCAGAAACAGGCATAGGGAGCCCACACAATGGGATGCTGGTGCCCAAGGCCAGCCAAACTACCTATGGGGCTTGTGTGGTCATCTCCCCCAGCGCTCTGGGAAACCCAGTTATAGGAGCATATAGGAGCATTATTGCAGCTGGAGGGCTGTCTAGACGCTTCTACCACTGCAAGGAGAAAGTCATAAATGCTCCCTGCTGCATGCCTGTAGTTGAGCTCCTTCCTCCATGCTCCCTGGGCACAGTCATCCCTTTGCTGGTAGGGCCTTCAGTGTTGCCTTACAGGATGGACAGTGCTCTCTAGGACCACTTCCCAGTGCCCTCAGCTGTATTGAGGCACATCTTTCATGTGTGCTCATCCTCTGTGTGGCCACTGTCCCTGTCTGCTTAAGGGGTCCCACTATACTGCAGGAGTGCAGATGCACAGAGTAGGTGCACAGAACAGGTGCTAACACCCATGTGCAGAGCAGGGTGTGGACACAGACATAGGGCTGCAGCACGGTGGCCTCCAGACCAAGAACCAGGCTCTAGGCGCTGAGCAGCGCCAGGCACACCCACCTGGGCAAGGGCCCATCCCACCAAGGGTGCTCCTGAAGGTATGTGGGAGAGTAATGGCAGACCTTGCTAGTTCCACCCTTCTGCCAACCCACGGGCAAGAGAACACCCCCCATGTCCCAGCAGATGTGCTGTCCCCTTCCATGGTGGGGATGACCAGAGTATCCCACCTGCACAGGATGGAGTACCAACATCCACTGGGTGCACACACATGCCCGGCAGTGCTCAGCTGCACCCCTTGTCTCATCTGCTCCTCAACAGCCTCTCAGAGGCCACCGGAGGATGCCTTGTGGAATGGCCCAGAACCACAAGAAGGAACAAGGGGTCCTGGCGGGGATATACCATACCCCAGTCTGCTGTGAGCTCCAGTTCTGCTCAACTAGCCTCGCAGAAAGGTGTCCAACACTCTCCCTGACTGGGCCCGTAGCCCAGGGCCAGGATCCATCCTCCAGCCCCCAGCTGAGGACTGCAGCCCAATTACAACAGTGCCAGATGACAGGTTCTAAGGCTGGTTCACAGTCCAGCCACAGCCCAGAGCACCTCATTTCATCAAAGCTGTCACCTCTCCCATCACCAGGAGCTGGGTGATTGCCTCTAATAGGTGCCAAGATAAAGTCAATGGCCTGTCTGAAAACTGGGCAATCTCAAACCTGCGGGTAAACTGCTGTAGGACAATTTAAGTTGGCAGGATGAAAACTAAAAAGAAAGTCAACCAAAACGATGCAGGCAGCAGTCCAGTGTCAAGATGGCAGGCAGATTCGTGAGGCATGCAAACCTAGACCCACGTGCAGGAGACCACCCTGGCCTGTGAGCCCACTCTGCATGCCTGGTGCCAGCCCAGAAGAACGACAGAACTGAGGGCATGAGGAGGACTCCAGACATGGCCAGTTAAGGGTGGGTGTGCAGGAGCAAGTCCCTGGTTTGGCTGGCAAACAGGATGTTCTCGGGCAGGGACCAGGGATTAGACTCAGGGCAAGGCGCACTTCCCCGCAGCTGCCCCAGTGCCTACCTGCAGAGTGCACCGCTCCAGCTGCATCTCCAGCATGTTCTTTTCTTGCTCCAGGCGGTTCCGCTCCGCCTCCAGCTCCTCAACCTTCAACCTGCAAGGCAAGTGAGACATGACAAGGTAGCCACTGTAGCCCGTGGGCCACTGAAAAGCTACAAGTGAGGCTTGAGAAATCCAGGGCTGGTGTCAAGAAAACACACACACAGGGTGGACAGGACGAGGTGATGAGCAAAACTGCAAGTGGCTCGGGCTGGGGGGTCTGTGACCAGCTGGAGTCTCCGCCAATCACAGCTTGGCTGGAGGCCCATGGGAAAGTGACAGGAGGAGGGTCCACGGGGATCCACACACGCAGTGATCCACCCTTGGAGCATGTGACTACATGCAGGAGAGGGTACTGAGGGGAAATCACCCCAGGAAGCTGCCAAAGAGATGAAAAGACAGGAAGGGTTCCCCAGCATGGGCACTGTGCAGCTGACAACTGGGGGCCCCAAGAGGAGGACCTGAGATAAGTGACAAACCCGGGAGCTGGGTGACGGTGGTAAAACTGACTCGTGGCTAAGATGGGAGTGTGGTAGGCTCTGGCTTGTCGTAGAAAACTAGTCTTATCTTTGTTGTTAAGTTTATTTTAAAAAATACAAAACATCCACATGGTTTAAAGATCAAAAAGTCTGCCAAGGCCTATGGTGGTGGACACAGGTCAGCATGGGCAGAGATCCTATGATTCAGGAAGGTCTTGACTCACTGGGCAGACAGACCTGTGCCACAACAGCCTGGCAAACCACAAACCATGACTCAAAAGCATCACACTCTTTCCAAGACACTGAACCACAACTCTGAAAAAAGATCAAGAATATTTATATAAGTACAGAATTGTCTAAAAACCCAACAAGCTGAAGTTCACAATGCCTGCCATTCAAGCAAAGATCACCAGGTGTGAAAGAAGCAGGAAAAGTCGGCCCACAGTGAGGGTGATAATCAGTCGAAACCTACCACAAGCCACACTGGCATTAAAACTGACAAGCAAGGCCAATAAAAGGGTTACTGAGACTGTTGGGACAATGGAACACTAAAGTACAGAGACAGAGGGCAGAAGGACTCGGTCAAACTTGTAGAGGTGAAAACACACAGGACAGGACTAATGGGGTATTAGACTCTGCAAAACAAAGGTTTCCTGTACTGGAACACACACGAGTGGAAACCATCCAAAATAAAATGCCGACAAAAAAGAGAATCTTTACAAATGAAAGGAGAAGTAGTGAGCTGGACAGCCTCATGAAGCACAAAGCTGGTGTCCCTGAAGACGGAGGGAACGCAGGGCATGAAAACTACCCAGAAGTCAAACCTGGGAGACATGAGCCAGGAGCCCCAGTAAGCCCTACACAAGAAACATGACGGTGATGGCCCAGAGCAGGGGAAAGGAAAACTGCTCAAAGCCAGGGACTGAGAACTGCTGGGCAGAGACAGATGCAGCCTTAAGATGACGCAAGTTCTTACCCCACAGCACCATTGGAAAGACCAGGCGACAGCTTTGAAATATAGAGAGGACTAAGAAGCATCAACCTAAATTCTATAACCAGGAAATGCCTTTAAAAAACAAAAGCAAAATTAGGAGGTTTTCAGATCTACAAAGAGACTTCAGCGCCAGTAAACCGGCTCTCCAGCATGTGTTATGGGAAGCCTGTTGGGGACGAGGAACATAACAGAAGCAAGCACAGTCCAGGCATAGTGAGGAGCAGGGGAAACAGGCCACATGGGGAATAAGTGTTGTGCATATTATTTAAATTTTTCTAGAGCCGGGGATTTAGCTCAGTGGTTTCACCGCCGGCTGCGCAGGCGCAAGGACCCGAGTTCAACGCCCGGTACCAAAAAAAAAATTTTTTTTCTAAAATATTTAAGTTACTAACTGTATTTTTAAAATGACTGACTTTTAGATGAAACTAATAAACACACATTGAGAAACTTTAAGAAACCGTACAAATAAATGATGACAACAGCATAAAGTTCAAGGGGAAGCCGGAGCCAGCTGTGGGGTGGTTGTGCTTTAGAGGAATACCATCGGTTGACGATGAACTATGCTATATACACTAAAACCCACAGGTAACAAAGCAAGGGTAATAGCCAAAACAGCAAAAACAAAAACCTCAATTATTTTTTTAAAAATAGTGAAAAAACATCAGCAAAAAGGAGACAGAATATTGGGAAAAGAAAATAGTAAGATGGTAAGATGGAAGCTAATCAGTGGGAATCATATTAAATGTAAATAGTTCTACCCCCCACCCCAATTAAAAGGCAAAGGTCATCAAACTGGGTTAAAATAAAAGGTGGAGTGGGCTGGGAAAGTCCAAATGGCCTGGGTTCAATCTCTAGTACTGAAAACAAATACATGACAAAAAACAAGAGAGAAAGTGGAGGGCAGTAAATCCCAGAGCACAGGCCATCTCCAGGAAGGTCACTTCCTAACAACGAGGAGGTGCATTCACTGAATGCAGTTAAACTCCCGGAAAGCTGCAAAGAAACAAAGCAAAACAGACAGGACAATGGGGAAAGCAAGTCTACAGTCACAATCACCTCATCCTCGCCCTCTCGATAAAGGATGGAACCACCAGCCAAAACCAGGGACAGGCAGACTTCTCGACACCGTCAACCAACCTAACCTAAATGATGTCTTTGATCACTCTGTGACAGCAGACTACACTTTCTTCTCAGTGTTCTCGGAATATTTTCCAAGACAGATGTATGCTAAGCAGTAAAAGAAGGCTCAATAGTCCAAATGAAATTGAATAATTCTAAGTATGTTCTGACTATATTTGAAATAAACGAGAAATCAGTACCACAAAGATAGCTAGAAAATATCACTTACAAAAGCATCCAAAACCATAAAAACTAAGATAACAAGATGAGGACACAGAATGTCCATATGCTGACAACTGTAGAGTGCTGCTGGATGCTGAGATGGTGCTGAATGTGGAGAGAGACACCTGCGCACAGGTGGGGGGAGGCTCAGTATTTCAGCAATGCACTTCTCCCAAATAGATCTGCAGAATCACATCAATCAAGATTGTCCGCTGTAATCCATCCTTGCTGTAAAAGGACAGACCCAAATAATGCTGGTGTGTGCATCTGAAAAGGGTGTACTTGAGCTAGCCATGGTGGCACATGCCTGCAGTCCCAGCATTCTGGGAAGCTAAGGTGGGGAATTGCAAATTTGAATGCAGTTAGTGAGACTGTCTCAAAAAAGAAAGGGCTAGGGATGTGGCGCAGTGTGAAGGTCTATTCCTGGGAAAACAAAACAAAACAAGAGTATTTTCTTTTGCTCTCCTCCTTTTCAGGCAAACTTTACCTCACAAAAAAAGAGGAACAAGAGAGTGAATGAACAAGTACACTCACATGTGATATTATGTTTACTCAACAGTTGCACAGTCTTGTTCCCATCAGACTGTGTCACCCAGTAACAGTGGAGTGACTCAGTTTGCAGAAGCACAGCCCAGGCTGTTCACACGGTGACCTTCAGCCTGATGGTACACTTCTCAGACCTACCCTGTCACCAAGTGATGCATGGCTGTATGTGTGTATATGTTTGTTTACAAACTCCTAAGTTCAGTTTTCGAATGGTTCAAAGCAATCAGCTCTGGCCTAAGTTTCTGGAAACATATTTCCTCTTTTTGGAATACTGTGGATGCTGTTAAACTGGGAGATTTCCCAGACTGTTTCCTGAGAAGAGAGCCAATCAAAGCAGGTAAGTGTGCGTGAATGTATGTATATAGAAACCAGCTGAAAACACGGAGTTGTTATCTTGCTGAAAATACTTACAATGACAATATCACATACACTGGGAAACACCGACCAGAAGAATTGTCTGCAGAAGATCAGGCAGTGAAGGGACAGTGCTGCAGGCAAGGCTCCCCGTGGCTTGGCAGGAGAGCACATGGATTGAGGGCCTCACACAGGCTGGTCTCCTGATTCCAGACTCCTAAAAGGCCCTACCCACCCGTTAGATAGAACACACTATTCTTCTATTGAGTTCTTTAAAAACTTGTTGTGTGTGTATGTGTGCGTGCATGCATGCGCGTGTGTGTGTGTACTAGGGACTGACCCCAGGGGTGAACTATACCCTCATCACGTTTTATTTTTATTTTGAGACAGGCTCTCACTAAGTTGTAGCACCTCAGGATCTACAACTCTCTTGCTTGAGCCTCCAATCACAGGCATACGCCACCATGCTTGGCCTAAAAACATTTCATGATTGATGACAAAAAAATGATATCATCATCTGCTGAGATTTTCAGTGTGGGCAGATGCAGGGCACTGACAGGAGATGACCAGAAGTGGTAAGACATCCACTGGAAGGGAATGCTCTCCCTAGTCCCAGGGCAAGTGCAGATGTGAAACTGAAACACAGACAGGAAGGAGCTACATTAAAAGGGAATACCCAAAGTTGCTCAACAGAAATAACCAAGCAGAGAGCTGCAGGCAAGGGGCAAGGGATTGCAAGCAAATAACAAATACCAGCAACCATGTGCAGAGGTAGCCATGGCAGGCTAAAAGGCAACCCGGCTGCATGTTATTACTGCAAGACCTGGTCAAAGAAATGAATGTGTGAGAGAACATCCACAGAGCACAGGCTGGTAAGAAGTCCATGAGACAGGCAGAGCACTCACCCTCCAGGCTGGAGCTGTGCCTGCCCTATGGCTTGCCCCAGCACAGAGGAGCTGAGCAGCACTGCAGAGGAGGTAACCAGCAGCACCTCCACGAGGCCACCATACTCACCATCCATCCATGGTGCTGCCTTGCCATGTCATGAGCTCCCTGATGCAGCACAATGAGCAGGGCTTCACCTCCCTGATCTTCTGTTCAAAACCCACAAACTCAGCCATGAACCACAGCAGACACACACAGACTAGGGACACTTGGCTGGCACTGTCAAATCTGCAGAAACCAGGAAAGATGGAGACCTCATCATGGAGCATGGGGCAGGGAGACCTGATGGCTAACATATACGTGTACTTGGAACCAGACATTAATGGAAAGATGGGAGACCCAAAGGAGGCTGGAGATTAGCTGACAGTAACCAACCAACAATAAGTGCACCCGGTG